GCTGTGCCGGTTGGGGCCCCTCTCCAGTTCCCAAAAAGTGGTTTTCTCAGGTAGTTTTAGATCTCTCCTAAGACGGGTCTGATGGTGTTCTTCACTTTCTCAGAAGGTCGAAACAGCATTCAGCCCAGTGGTTTTGAAGCCAGCTCCTTCCTTGACATGGTAGTCAGGGTCCTCCTCGGGTTGTCCTAAACGTCCCGGGTCTGTACGGTCCTCTTGCAAGAGAAATATTCCAGCCGCCCAACACTTGAATGCTGTACGTCTCGACTGTGTGTGTGCCCTGCTCCCAGCCTGAGAAAACCGCTGCTCACAACCACGTCCCCTCCTGGCCATCTGCACCCATCATTCCTTCCCGGGTGCAGACGCGGGCTCTTCCGGGTTGTCTCCTGGTTCCTCTCCTGCTGTCTGAGCCATGCCTGGTCCTCTTGTTTTCTGTGGTTACCCACGTGGTTGCTTCTTCAGGTTCCTTGAGAACAGGGACATTGCTTATTTATCGTATCCCCCTGAGGGCCAGCATCCCTGGACTTCCCTGGGCTTGTGACCACAGCTCGGACCTCTGTCCTGTCATCACAGAGCCACCTTCTCTGTGTCTGTGTCCAGATTCACCTCCTCCCAGGAGGATACCTGTCATTGGATGAGGGCGCAGCCTGGTCCAGGATGGCCTCAGCTCAATGACATCTACAGAGACACTGTTTCCAAACAAGGTCATATCCACGGGTACCAGGAATTAGGATCTGGCCATCTCTTCGGAGGGGGAAACACAATTCTGTTTTCTCTACTCAAAACCATTTGAACTACTACTGCTTGTCACCTTTCAGGGGAGTCATTGAGACTCTGGTCACTCGCCTCCCGCTCTTGATCAGCAGTTCCAGAGATAAGACCTGGTCCAACCAGGCAGATCTTCGCATCCTGGAATACTCAAACTGAAAAGCGTTCATAGAAGTCCTTTTGTTTAAATTTTACAGTTGGAAAAGGTAGACAAACCATCTTATTTTCTTGTGCTTCAGGTATTACAGCTGTGACCATAAAGCAGACAAGTACTACTGTGTTCCCTGATGCCAGGGGCACTGTTCCTCCCTTGTTTTCAGCAAAAAGTCAAGAAAGAAGGTGTTTCTGATCAGAGTCAGCGCCTTTAAAGTACCGATATTTAAAGACAGATATTTTAAGGTAAGGAAGGGCCTGAGGCTTGTTTTCACCCCGAGTCCTGCAGAGAGTCGCCCTCAGCAAAGTGCCAGGAGCTGCAGCTGGTGCTCCTGGAGGCTGCATGATGACTGGAGGCTGGAGTGAGTGTGGACGTGCAGGGAATATGTGTGGGCTATGGGCACAGCTAGCTCCAGGGTGGCAGGGAGGAGCCCTCGGGGTGCTGGAGGTTTCCACACGTCCTCACGACAGGGAATGCAGAGCCGTAGTGTGACCCCAGGCCTCCTCCTGAAATACCATTTCACCTCCTGCATTTCCTGTCCCAGTTGACTCTCAACTAGCATTCCCTCTACAGCAAGTCACCCACACATAAGCGAGTTCTGTTCTAAGAGCAGGTTCGTAAGTCCAATTTGTTTGTAAATCCAACAAAGTAAGCCAGCTAACACAATCGACTGTGTAGTGGACTGTAATAATATAATATATATTCTATGTATATACAGTAGAGGTTTATAATACTTTTTCACACAAACACATGAAAAACATAGAAAATAAAACATTTTTAATCTTACAGTACAGTACCATGAAAAGTACAGTAGTACCGGCTACCTCACTCCTGTTTTACGCCTGCTTGCAGACGTCCTGGGCTTGAAATAAATATACTATAACTCAATACAGTACATACAGTAAGGTACACAAAAGCACAACCACTTGTGGAGAATGCGTGCCAGGTGACACTGTACGCCAGACACGTGAACTCACTTACGTGATTGGACATGTGAAAGCACAGTCACGTCTTTTGAAAGTTCACAACTTGAAGGTCCATATATAGGGGACTTACTGTACTAAGTTCAGAGATGGGGAATGTCAGAATTACAATTAGCTGTTAAACCAGTGACAATATTTGTGTGAAAGTAGAATAGAGTTTTCCTTGTATTTTAGACAAAACTTTTTAAGGTATTTGGGTCAATAAGTTGGATAATCTGACAAACATCTTTTCTTCCCATATCTTTTCATCTTTTTAAATTAAAAAGTAGCATGAAACAATTTATGGGGCATTATAGTGAAAATGAAAGTCACTCAGTCTTGCCCGACTCTTTACCACTCCGTGGACTATACAGTCCATGAAATTCTCTGGGCCAGAATACTGGAGTTGGTAGCCTTTCCCTTCTCCAGGGGATCTTCCCAACCCAAGGATCAAACCAGGTCTCCTGCATTGCAGGTGAATTCTTTACCAGCTGAACCACAAGGCTCTTTATGAAATTTTAGTTCTTCCAGAAGGGCTGTCCTCAGTTTGATTGATATTTGAGTCAGTGTTACCCCTCAAAAATAAGGGCTGAACAAGTTGCTCTGTAATGATAATTTACAAGTTCCTCTGTAAATGATAATGCTGTCTTGGCAAAATATTATTCTTGGGGCAAAATGGATTGAACAAGAAAATACAGGACAATTAGATCTTTGTCGATTTTCGCTTTTTATGACTCCAGCCTGTGTGCTGTGTTTCTAGTAATTGCAGAGGATGTTTTTAATAATGATCTTGTGTAAAATGTTGTGGTTTGAGTTACAGGCACTGGGAGTTGTTGGGCTGGGTGACAGAGAACTGGCTTCAGGAGCTGTGCTCCCCAGGAATGGCTGGCCGACGACTCCCTTCTTCCTCCTGTGACCTGGTCCTCAGGTCGGCTCTCAGCTCATGATGGCAAAAAACAGGCCCCAGCTGTGCAGCCCAGATGGGGGTCAGGGAGCAAGGCCTGGATTGAAAGTGGGAGACAGTTGCTTTCTGAAGCAGACTTGCCATGTTGTATGAAAACTAGAAGGAAGGATGCTGGGCCTAGCAGCTTAGAGCTTGGGCTGTTGAGAAGGTGCAACCAGAACTTGATGATTTGGGGACTACGATTTAAGACAACAAATCTGCTCCCCAAAAAGCACATATTCATTATTACCAGGGCCTGAAAAAGAAAGGACCAGTGATGCACAGTTCATGGTTGGGGACCAGACACTGTAGCTATGTCCTTAAAATATCGTGACATCAGCAGTTCTTCAGGGAATTACCGCCGTTCGGAGCACTTAGCTGCGTCAGCCTCTGTGTGAAACGTTTTCACATAACCCCTGCTTCGACTTTGTGAGCGTGGTGTTAGTGCTCTCATGCTGAGCAATGGGATCTCAGGGAGTTTGAGTCTGAAGCCATGTGTGTCTGACTTGGCCCTGCCATACCGTCCCTTAGTTTTACAGTGTACTTTGTCTGTCCATCAGGCCCCCCTAATTCTGCATCTGTCCCCCATCCTCTTACCTCAGTGCTGTCAGCACCTGGCACCCCGCTGGCCTCCATCCACACTGAACCATGTCGGTTCTGCCTCTGGATGTACCTGCCACCAGCATCCGTCCCCCCTTCCCCCTGCCTCAGTTGCCATCTCACTAGCCTTCATTTGAAGGCCCTGAACTCTTAGAATAAATTCTACTTGGCCTTTTTGCTTCTAGTTTTAATCTGCCCTAGCCCGGCTTACCCTCTAGCCGTGGACCAACCTCTCGAAAGTGTAGACTGAGTTTAGGGACCTGTTGGCCTTGGCCACTCCTGTCCTCAGAGGTGAGCTGGCCTCCTGTCTCCCACCTGCCTCTCCAGCTCTGTCTTCCTTAAATCCTAGGGACTTCCCTTCCCCTCCCCCACCGCTTAAACCTGAAAATATGAGTCTTACCCCATCCTTTTCTGTCTTGCACTTGGACGATCTGTAGTTACACCTTTATAGATGACAACGCGCCCAGTATTCCTCACTGAACCGTGTCCTCCCTGAGGGCAGCGATCACCCCTGCTTCGTTAACCAGCTGATCAACCTCTGGCTTCGAGCACAGTGGCCGCAGGGGCCCAGATCTGTGTGGAACAAATGGGTTAACAGACTTGTAACTAAAGAGCCCAAAGCAGTGCCCTTTCTTAGTCTTTGAGTTCTGATTTCACTTGTGGCTGAAGAAGGAACCTGTGTTTGGAGCAGTTTTGTCTCAGTGGCTTTTGGTTTCCTTAGGAAAAAACACACTCCCTTTATGGCTGATTGTCAGTGTCTGCAATTCAGCTTCTGCGCAGCAATGCACTCGGTTTTCCAAACTTCCATGTCAGAACCAGCCACGGTAGAAGAAAAGACTAAGTTCCAGGTGAAGTAATTCCTCTTGGTCTGGCCTGAGACTGGGTGGGTGGGAGAGGAAGACCAGGGCTCTCCTGACTGCATCCAGATTCCCCCCGATGGTGCAGAGGTGGGAACACTCCAGGCCCTCCTACCTCAGCTGTGCCGCCCCCCAGAACCCAGGCATCTGGTTCAGCTGTCTCCACACACCTGCGCCACTCCTGCCTGCTGTCTTTGAGCAGAGTTTGCTTTTAAAAAAAATTTTATGTATGTATTTTTGTTTGTGCTGGATCTAGTTGCGGTGCACGGGTTTCTTCTTGCAGTGGCTTCTTGTTTCAGAGCATGGACTCTAGGGCGTTCGGGCTTCAGGAGGTGCGCAGCACTGAGGCTCAGTAGGTGTGGCGCACGGGCTTAGTTGCCCTTAAGGCATGTGGAATCTCCCTGGACTAGGGATCGAACCTGTGTCTCCTGCACTGGCAGGCAGATTCTTATCCACTGGACCACCAGGGAAGTGCCCAGAGTTGCTTTGGAAGGAGACTTTTTCTCTCCAGTGATGTATTATCTCAGCAGCCCTCCCAGCCTTGGTCACGGGAACTGGCCGTCAGAGTCTGCAGCCAGGGCTGTGTGCCCCCAGTCTGCGAGGTCTCGGAAGCTGGTATCTTCCGTGTGCACGTGCATGCAGGCTGGGAGACTCGTCTTCCCATGACCGTCCTGAGTGTTGCCGCTCACACTCCTCCTTTCCCTCTTGTTGATCCGCAGTTGGTCATGTTCAGAGCTGGACCTGAACGAGATTCGCCTGATCGTTTCCCAGGACTGTGACAGGAGAGGCAGACAAGTCCTGTTTGATTCTAAAGCTGTCCACACGACGGAGGAGGTGGCAGCTCAGGTAGGAAACGTGGGTTTGCTTCCTCTTTTGCATCTGTGCTTTAACCGTCTCTGGTCAGTCCAGCAGCTGCTCGCTGGGCTGAGTCATACAGCCTCGTTAGTGATTCAGAAGAAACGGTTCCTCGACCACCCCAGTTGAGTACTTATTAATACACACAGGTGAGACCATTAGCCAGTCATCATGCAGATGCTAAGCAGCTACTATAGATGTTACCAGAAGTGAATTTGCTAGTGAGTCACAATCCAATAGGTTTTTCATGCCAAATATGTGCTGTATAATGAGAAAGTTCTAAGAACTCTAAAATTCATGAAACATTTGCCTGAAGAGAAGGTCTGGTATTTACCATAGACAGTAAGAGGTGATACATAGCACTGGGATAAAAGAAGTGGAGAGCTTTCCACACCACAGGGTTGCAGGGTACTAGCAAAACGGCTTGTGTCTACAAAAGGGCCTATGTCTCAAGCCTGCTTGACCAAGGAAGTTTATTTATTTTCTTTTTTTAGTGGAGGGCAGAGTGGTGGTAGTGGTGATGGAGGTGATGATGGTGATGGTGGTGGTGATGGTGGAGATGGTAATGATGATAGAGATGGTGGTGGTGGTGGTGGTGGTGAAGATGTGGTAATGATGGAGTGATGGTGGTGGAGATGGTGATGGTGGTAGTGGTAATGGTGGTGTGGTGATGGTGGTGGCAGTGGTGCTGGTGATGGTGGAGATAGCTGTTGTGGTGGGGATGGTGGTGGTAATGATGGTGGGGTTGGTCGTGGTTGTAGTGGTGATGGTGGTGATGATGGTGATGGTGGTCATGGGGGAGATGGTACTGGTAATGATGATGGTGAGGCTGGTGATAATGGTGGAGGTGGTGATGGTGGGGGTATGAGGCATGGGGCACCTGGGTGTGGTAAAAATGAGGACAGAGTAGCCGTTGACACCTTGGAGCCAGAATGGGAAATGTAGAGCAACGTGTCTGATGGGAGCAGAGTCTGGTCCTCCCTGTGAGTCTTCAGGATGGCTGTCCAGTGTACTTCTGACTTGTCGCCTTTCAGCAGTTATTCAGATGTCTACAAATTAAATCCTCTCCTGTTCCTTCTTTTCATGTTCAGTAACCTGCTACCTGTCTTAACTGAGTCCTGGTGCTTTAGAGACTGTGCAGCTAAATACCTGAATAGTTTACGTCAGAGTCTCCGTCTCTTCAGGGCTGAGATCCCTTCCTGCTTTCAATAAGGTCATTTCTACAGGAAGGAAGTGTTTGGTTAAAGGCAGATTAGCTGAGCAGATCCCATGGTGCTCTCACGTGGAAGTCGGCCAGGTAGCTAATCATTACAGTAGTTGTCAGGCGTGTTAGGTAAGTGGGGGACTGGGGGATGAGAATTCTCTCAGATGATTCCCTGAGGCTTTCATGGTAGATTCGTATCTAAGTTTAGGTGAGCTGGTACTTGGCCCTTTGTTTGGTGACAGCATGTGGTTTCCTTCTGATTTCCTGCATCATTTCCTATTTCCCTGAAGGCATTGCACAGATGGTATATTTGCACATCCATACTCTGTCACCTGGGCCCTTGATGGTGGTAACAGGTAGAGGGAAAAAAATCTCACTGGTTGGCAAAAGGAACCAGAATCATGTCTGTAGGGGCAGTGATGACCCTGGGGTGTGCAACAGAAGTGTCCCGGAAAGTGCTCATTTATTAATAATTACAGAGGCAGCTGGGCCCGGGTAGGCTTGGAAACTGTCTGAGGCTACCGAACAAGTCCGGTCTGGGCTCTGCTCACTGGACTGGGTGCCGTCACTACCCGCGGATGGCTCGGCCGGAGGGCCTGGCGGTGCAAGACGGGTGTGGGTCGTGTGTCGCTGCAGGACCACGTTCCTGGCTTCAGCGGCGTGAAGCCGCGGGCAGACCTGAAGAGACCACTGAGGGTGTGCATATGCTCAGGAGGACCCCACATCCTGGGCCTCCAGCCCTGCCCGTGACCACTGGGGACACATGCTTCCTGTTCCCCTTCCGCCCCTCCCCATCTTCAGCCTTCCCCCCACCGGCAGGCACCAAGCGTCAGCAGTTGGCAGCAGGCACATGACTGCAGGCATTTGCATTCGACCACCAGTGTGACTGTCACATTGCAGATTAGATAAGCTGCAGTTGCATTCATGGTTGTCCAAGCAGAGCTGCACACAAAAAGCAAATAAGACTGAGGATAGAAACCACGCTTCACAGAGGGGGCACTGCATCTGGAGCGGGGAGTATGTCTTGGCACAGGAGGACGGGAAATGTCAGTACAGGTGTATGTTTATTCCTCTGTGTCACTGTCATAGAAACCAGCTCTGGACTCCATGTAGGAAATGTGTGCAGCTCACACCCTGTGAGCCCTGACCTCTGGAGGCTGGGTACATCACGTGCTGGGTGTCACAGGAGCCCCTGTTCAGTGCTCTGTCTTCATCTTTCACAAGCCCAACCGCGTGACTTTCTCTGAAGCAGTGCAGGAGGGTGTGTCATCAGAGCACATGCCCGGGCTTTCCAAATGAACCTTCTGCCTTCCTAATTCCTTTTGCCTGGTGAAAATTTAAATTTGAATCAAGGACTGTATCCTCATCAGTGTTGTCATCTATGAGTATACAAAGTACTCCAAAATCCTCTAATAATCAAAACAGAGGTCAGGTCTCATCAATGATTTTCAAGTATGAATTGAAATGTCAATAACAGCTGCATTATTTAAAGAGAATATTCTTGAGAAATCCCCTGGTGGTCCAGTGGTTAGGACTCAGTGCTTTCATGGCAAGGGCTCAGGTTCAGTCCTTGGTTGGGGAACTCAGATCCCTCAAGCTGCACCATACCTCCAAAAAAAATAATGACAATAATAAAGAGAATGGGTTTTAAAAAATAATTTTATTTATTATATTTTTGGCTGTGCTGGGTCTTCGATGCTATGCAGGCTTTTCTCTAGTTTCAACAAGTAGGGGGTACTCTTTAGTTGCAGAGCAGTTTAAGTAAGGGCTCCCCAGCGAGCATGTATGGGAGCCTGGTACACTTGCTGGTGGTGTGTTCACACTGCCTTTCCCTCTTCACCCAGAGAACGGAGGACCTCCCTGTGAAAGTGCCGGCCAAAAGCTGCCTAGGAGGCGGCCCTGCTGCTCATGGCCCTTCAGGGGGATCTTTACCACATGCCAAGGAGCAGCTTCCCAAGTACCAGGTAAAGCCGCCCCTGCGAGCGCAATAGCCCGAGGGCTGAAGTCACTTACTGTCATTTCCCCCTGGGGATCACGGTGCAGTAGGAGACTGCAGATCCAAGAATGCGTCTCAGGTGTTTTAGGTCGGTGCTGTGCTCACACTTTGGCTTTTATCTCTCCATAAAAACTAGAGAAAAGTGGAGCAGGGGGCATCCAGGGTAACACAGACCAAATGAGGAAGGAATATTGCAGAGGAGGTGACTCCTCCTGTTTTGCTTGTTTGGTTGTCAGAACCGGGCTAATGCATGTGTTTTCTAGTTTTGTCAGAAGAGTTCTGAGGAGTCTGGGCATGCGGGTGGACATCCTGAGAAAATTGCTCTTGCCAGTAGAAGGAAGAAAGCTTCTTATAGGAGCAGATGGAAAGGCAAGACCTAAGTTGAGTGTGAAGAGTAGAGGTTTGGTAGCATTTTTATGTTGTCTGTGTGTGTGTGTAAGTAAGCAGAGGATAAGGGTTATTGCAGGATATTGGCCAACCAGTCATAAGGGAAGTTGTTGCATAAATATGACTTGCAGAAGGGTACTACTTGTGGAGGATATGTCAGTTTGTATTTTTGTTTTTCTAGTCATGTGAGTTTTTCTACCCTGTTGCTAGAACAGCAAAGCCAGGGAAGGTACCAGCAGCCACAGGCATATAGAATGTTGTTCTCTTCACAGCCAGGGTGGTTGCACGTGTCCACCCATGTTTGACAGAATCCCAGGTCTCAGAGCAGTGTATGTGTGTGGTTACAACAGCACAAGTAAATTATCTGTGAGTTGAGAATCACAGTTCGCATGTGGCCCTTGAGTTTCAAGAGAAAGCAGATTAGGAAATGGAGGTGGTGGGTTGAAGTTACTAATGAAGAACGTGAAATCCTGTCAGTTCTGTCTGCATGTAGAGAGAAGGGGTTGGTAGGAGCCTATTAAATTAGATGGATTCATTTCTGTTTCTCTTTCCTTCTGTGAAAATATGTGTAAGTAGGTGTATGTGTGTGTCCTTCTGTGTGTGAATATATATGTGTATGTATGTGGATTTTGAGTTAAAAGAAGGGAGCGTTAAGGGTGATGCCACGTTTTTGCTTGAGTAGAAAGCGAAGCAGCCAAGAATCTGGCTGGTGGCCTGAGTCACGGGAGGTCGTGGTTTGGTTTTGGTCAGGCCATGTGGGTGCTCCTGGTTTGGTTGACACTCACATCCACATTTACAGTAGGAGCTGAGCATCCTTTATTCAAATGCATCCAGTCACGTACCATCATATTTCACAATATATAGATTTTGTGCCATGTGAGTAAAGGCATTTGTCTGCTGGCTTCCAGAGCCCCAGGCAAGTCGGGGTCCAGAGATGAAGGTGTGGGGGTTCCCACATGTCAGGAAGAACCAGAATAGCAGCAGTGGTTATGGACATGGGCAGTGATAGGAGGGCCCTCTAAGGAACAGTTCTGTCCAGGGGATGAGTCGGGAAAGCAGACATTTAAGAAGGAGAGCAATTAGCACATCAGATACTGTGAGACATTTAATAAAACAAACTGGGAGGTGCCCACTGGATTTCACAGAAGGTGAGGCCATCACTAGAGCTGTGTGAATAGTTGTGGGAGGAGGCAGTGCTGTCCACCCTCCGTGCTGGCAAAAGAGACATGAAAGACTGGTCAGAGGTAAGGGTTCAGATATTTTTAAAATATTTTTTGTAAAACTTTAGGGGGATCAGACTGTCTATCATCTCTTGGACCTCACCTGCCCCAAAGGGTCATTTTGTTCAGCAGCGTTAATTTTGGTTGAATAACCCTGGACTGTGTTTCTTTCCAGGATGTGTTCTTAGTAGCAAGAGAGCAGTCACCCTGTCTATTCCATCACCTAATCTTTCTACTTAGCCTTTGTAAATGAAGATGAGGAAAACCTTTGTGTCTCATAAGAAAGATTAAAAATGAGCTTCAGTAAAATGCTTGGGTCCTGTGTGAAGATATCATGTGTAAAGAAGAAATCAGGAACATTAGTGATTATTTGGGGAAAAAAGTAGGCAATCACCATTTTTACAATCACTGAGGTTGTAAAGCTATCAGATGCTGCTTTGGGAAACAGGTCTAATTACCAACAAGCTGAACATTATTCTCTGTCACACTGTGCATGATGCTGTGGTGGTTCCTTTCACGTCGGATAGTACACACGGCCCGCCTCTGATGTCAACATGCTCGGGGAGATGATGTTCGGCTCGGTCGCCATGAGCTACCAAGGCTCCACCCTGAAGATTCACTATATACGGTGAGTTCTGGCACCGCCACCACGCGTGAAACAGCATGGGGATGTTGACTCTTAGTTCAAACGTGCTTAAAAAAATTTACATAGTTAAACACTAGATATTGTTAGCACTTGATATTTTTTATGCATCTTTAACAGTTAAAATAGACATTTCCTACATAGCTCTGACCTTGAATCCGCTTAGCAGAGCAAAATCCTAAGCTTTAACTAAGTACTGTAAGTGAAAAATGCATACCAAAGTCTTCTGACAATCTGCCAGGTTAGTAGTAGCAACACTTTCTGTCAGAATTATTCAAATATTTTAAGTCTTTCAAAATCTCATCAATTTTCCATTTTGAGATTAAAATTTTAGTCATGACTTTTTCTTTTTACTGAGGTACATATTTTTTTTCTTATTTTTTAAAAAGTCATTGAATGAATGCCAAGTTTATTTTTGTTTCCAGGGAATGGTGTCTAGAATAAAGCTTCTGCAAAAAAACAAAATGCAACTCCATTAAAGAATATGTCTGTAGTCTGCATGTCAGAACAGAATTTAGCTTGCTTGAGGCACAAGCTATATGATTTATGAAAGAAAGCCTTTTCCGATCCTGCATGTCTAACCTTCTGTCTGTTCATCCTGTGCCATGTGGCAGATGAAAAATGTAACCTGAGAGAAAACAAACTTCTACTTTGAAAGATTCTGGCTAAGCAAAGTTTGTTCATCTGAAATACTTGCTCCCAAGCAAAATGGCCCCCAGAAATGTCTCCGTTTCTCTTCTAGGGTTTTAACATCCTTGGGATTTTAAAATGATAAAATTAGAAAGAAGAAATCTTGGCACCACATTGATACAGTGATTTGAAAAAGACATGTCTCATTCTTTGTCAAATAAAATATAGAAATGAATAAAAGCAAGCAGACAAAACGTCTCTCCCTACTCTGTTCTTTTGTCTGTTCCTGCAGTTCTCCTCCGCAGCTGATGGTTAGTAAAGTCTTCTCGGCCAGGATGGGCAGTTTCTGTGGGAGTACAAACAAGTAAGTGTGGGGTGTTCCCCCACCCCACTGTTGCAAGTGGCTGCTTCTGGGGTGTCCCTCACCCCCCACTGTTCCAAGTGGCTGTTTCTGGATGGAGTCACTCCTTGTGACTCTTTTTTGAGATGAGAGTTAGGACAAGTCCACATTAACACAGGGTTTTCAAGGTGGCCGTTGTCCAGTACACAGTGAGTGTGAAAGGGCCCTGGACCTTATTAGTTGGCCTTGAAGACAGATCTGTCTATATGTGTATTTGGGGTCTCTACCTGTTACTCTCTGTTCCTACTGACAGCCACCAAATTTTCATTTCCTGCAAAATGAAATGTGAAGGGAAAAAAAGGAGGGACCACAGTAATGAGCTATGGTATCCCCGATATTGTTTTATCTTATAGTCTTATCAGGACTTTTCCCTGGTGGTCCAGTGGTTAAGATTTTGCCTCCAATGCAGGGCGTGCAGGTTCAATCCCTGGTCAGGGAGCTGGGACCCCACATGCCTCATGGCCAAAAAAACAAAAACATTGTGCAAAAGCAGTGTTGTAACAAATTCAATAAAGACTTTAAAAAGGGCCCACATTAAGAAAAAAAATCTTAAAGCCTTGTTTGTTAGTTTCCTCATTTGTTTATTTCTAAAGGGATGAGGCACAGGGTGAGCTTGCCAGGCTGAGAGGCCTGCCCTGAATGGCAGGAAAGGTTGCCTGTACTCACTCTCGGAGCCATCTGTGCCACCTCCGCGCTTGGTGGGGACTCGGGTCAGGCAGTGTTTTGATTTTTGCTTCTGAGTTCCTCCCCCAACTCTTAATTTTGCTCCTCTATGTAGACTAAGAATATTTCAGTGTCTAACTTAACTCTTACTTGGCACATTTGTTCATGTATTTTGAATTTTCCAAGCAGAAATATTTTATATCCTTCTTTTTTTTGAATGAAATAATAAAACATTTGTTATACTTGGGTAAGTTTGAAAGAAATGTTTTTTATAAATTAAAGGGGTATTCTTTGGGGTCAGATAAAGGCTGTATTTTTTTTTTTTTTTACAGTCTTCAGAAATTAAAAGTATGTTCCTCTGAAAGTTTGGGTGCTTTTGAGTAAGTCTGCTTACTTTTCAGTCCAGTAAAGAATTTATATTTTTGAGCATTTTAAGACTGGATTGTCGGGACTTAAGCATAGGAATTAATGTTTCTTTTTTTGCGAGATATTCTTTTTCAGATCTTTGCTACTACCTGAATATTTATTATACTAACTTCAATAAAATATTGAGCTCAGGTTTAAGTAAAAATGACTTTTACCTCATTATGTTATTTTATCCTCAAAATCTTTTTTATTTCACTTCTTACTAAATACAATAAATTATTAAAATCTGCTTCTCTCACACCTATGTTGTTGTGTTAGTCACTCAGTCATATCTGAGTCTTTATGACCCCAAGGATTGTAGCCCATTAGGCTTATCTGTCCATAGAATTCTCCAGGCAGGAATACTGGAGTGGGTTGCCATTCCCTTCTCCAGAGTATCTTCCCAACCCAGGTATAGATCCTGGGTCTTTTGCATTGCAGACAGATTCTTTACCATCTGAGCCACCAGGGAAGCCCTCTCACATGTTTATGAGTAATTCTAACTTTTTAGAAGTTGTGGAATCAGACTCCTGTAAAAATCATAATTTCCATTATATGGTCCTCCTGAAAAAGGCTGCCGAATTTCTCATGGATGTTAACCAAGAGTTAAAATGAATTTCATTTTGAAGGTTTATATAAAATAACCCTTGAAATAAATAGCATTAGCCTTGGTCTTAATCACCAAAACAAGATTTTAGAGTTTCTTATTCCCCATTATATAATGTGAAATTGTATATTTGGATTGTAAATGTTTGGAATGTGTCATTTAGTTTTATAGGTTGAACTACCTCCCAGAACCTTTCTTGTCGCCTAACAAATTCCCCTGAAGATTAATTCCCTCTAGTACATGTGAAACTTTATTAATTTATAAAGAAAAATCTGACCAGCTGGTGGATTGTCTTGTACCTGAGAGTCTGTTAGCAAGCAGCTGTATTCATCTCTTGATGTTTCTCTCCTGTCTCTCCCTTCCATCCCCTTCTGGACTTAGCTTGCAAGACAGCTTCGAATACATCAACCAAGATCCTAACCTGGGGAAACTGAACACAAATCAGAATAACCTGGGTCCCTGTCGGACCGGAAGTAACCTAGGTAAACTCCACCGCATAGACGGGTCTTGCTTTCTGGGCCCCCCTGTTGTGGGTGTGCGTTTTGCTTTCTTTTGAGTTTGCGGTGTTGTTTTGTTCTGGCAGTATCTTTAATCTGTGTTTATTTCTGTGTGTACCTTGTCCGCCCCCTGTGTTGTCTCCGCCGCAGGTGCGCTGCAGGGATGCGGCGGCAAGCTGCCGCCAGGGGCGGCCGAGGGAGGACCTCTCCGGCTCAGCCGCAGTGCCTCTTTCTTTGCAGGTTTGTGTGGAATGCTGAGCACGGTGTGACCTGCACACGTTAATAAATCCTGGGCAGGTTCTTGGAAACAAATCCTGTTTGGCACCTCTCTAGAAATCCAAGGGGCTCTTGAGATAATTAGTTCCAAATGCTGCCAAGTTCCCCATGTTCTGAAACTTCCACCCGTGAACCCTTATTGTAAAAGTCTCCCTTAATACCCCAGTGTAAGCTGATTTTGATCCAAAATGAGCCCTTTGTATTTCTAAGAGGATAATATCTTCTGATCTTCCTTGGCCTCTTCTGCTGCTGCGAACTGTCTCTCTTTACTGTGGCATCTTTAGTCCACTTTTCACCTGCATCCTTAGCTGCACAGTCTCTTTAAAAGTCACTCTAACAACAGCATGGAAGACCAGCCTCACTCACTTTCTCTCTGGCACTTAAGTAGCTCAAATGCATTTTCCAGCTTCTTTACAGGTGTGATTGTCTCCGTCTCTCTGGGTAGGTACACTCTGAGCAGAGGCTGTCTGCTACCTGCTGTAGGCTGGCATGATTAACAAGTGTGGAAGTCTTCACTGCTAACTTTAACGGTTGTGTTTATGGCAAATGGTATGCTTCATTCCATTTTTCTTTGTAGCCCCAGAATATGCTAGGCACCCTAGTTAACTGACAGAGACTCTCCTACCTATTTCAGAGTGAGGAGAACAAGTTTGTTTATACACTGTCCTTAAAATTATAAAAATAAACGTGCTTCACAAAAGAGCTGGCAAATATAACACTGAGGCAGGGCAACCTTGTGCACTGTAAAGCTAACTGTCGCCACGTGTCAGCTACCTTCTAGCTCAATAAGGAGACAGTTAAGACCGATCTGAAGCATTCCTAGAAGTCTGTAATCCTTTACAGTGTTTTCTTTTTTTGTTAATTTTTTTTGGAGTATTGTTGCTTTACAATGTAGTGCTCATTTTTACTGTCCAGCAAAGTGAAGCAGCTTTACGTGTACATATATCACCTCTTTTTCTGGATTTCCTTCCCGTTTAGGTCACCACAGAGCGCTGAGTAGAGTTCCTAGTGTATACAGTAGGTTCTCATTAGTTATCTATTTTACTACTGATACTATGTATAAAATAGAGCGTTTTCTAAGCAAGTCTACAATAATTCTGAATCTAGGTATGTATGGAAAAGAGGTGGAGGAAAAAATAATTGAAAATAAATATGTGTTTTCTATCTACCAAGAGAATGGGTTATAAAACAGAGAAACATTTTGTCAAATTTATGAACTGGTTTTCACGTAGTTCTCTAGCTTGCCTATAGTTGTTACTAAAACTGATTATAAAACATTTTGGAGTTTCTTAATATTTTGAAATACATTCTAATATAGTGAAAATACTTGAGTACTATTTAAAATCTACTAATGAGGAAAATGCCTCAAAGTATCTACTGCAGGATGCGGTTTATTGTATCAAGTGCCCACATAGTTTATGGTTCAGTTAGAGGTGAGTATCAGAAAAGTCTCTGTGCTGCAGTAGGGACAGGCACCTGATCCTGCCTCCTCCCCCTGCTCCTCTCTCCTTCTCTCCCCTCCTCCTCCCTCTCTCCCCCCGACTCTCCTCTTTTCTTCCCCCTCTTTTCTCCTGCTCCCCCCACCTCCTCTCCTCCTCTTCCCTTCTCTCTTCCTCACCCTTTCTCCTCCTGCCCTCCTCCCCTCTACTCTTCTCTTCCCCCCTCCTCCCCCTCTCTCCTCCCCACTACTCTCCTCTTCCCCCCCTCCTCCCCCCTCTCTCCTCCCCACTACTCTCCTCTTCCCCCTCTCCTCCTCCCCCGTCTCCTCCCCACTACTCTCCTCTTCCCCTCTCCTCCTCCCCCGTCTCCCTCCCCACTACTCTCCTCTTCCCCGACCTCCTCCTCCCCCTCTCTTCCTCCCCACTACTCTCCTCTTCCCCCTCTCCTCCTCCCCCTGTCTCCTCCCCACTACTCTCCTCTTCCCCTCTCCTCCTCCCCCCCTGTCTCTCCCCCACTACTCTCCTCTTCCCCCTCTCCTCCACCCCCGTCCCTCCCCACTACTCTCCTCTTCCCCCTCTCCTCCTCCCCCGTCTCCTCCCCACTACTCTCCTCTTCCCCCCTCCTCCTCCTCCCCGCCATCTCCTCCCCACTACTCTCCTCTTCCCCCCCTCTCCTCCTCCCCCCTCTCCCTCCCCCCACTCTCCTCTTCCCCCTCTCCTCCTCCCCACTCTCCTCCCCACTACTCTCCTCTTCCCCCTCTCCTCCTCCCCCCCTCCCCCCGTCTCCTCCCCACTACTGTCCTCTTCCCCCCCTCCTCCTCCCCCCCCGTCTCCTCCCTACTACCTCCTCTTCCCCCCTCCTCCTCCCCCCGTCTCCTCCCCACTACTCTCCTCTTCCCCCTCCTCCTCCTCCCCCCTCTCCTCCCCCCACTCTCCTCTTCCCCCCTCTCCTCCCCCCCTCTCCTCCCCCCACTCTCCTCTTCCCCCTCTCCTCCTCCCCCCCTCCCCCGTCTCCTCTACTGTCCTCTCCCCCTCTCCTCCTCCCCACTCTCCTCCCCACTACTCTCCTCTTCCCCCTCTCCTCCTTCCCCCGTCTCCTCCCCACTACTCTCCCTCTTCCCCCTCTCCTCCTCCCCCCGTCTCCTCCCCACTACTGTCCTCTTCCCCCTCTCCTCCTCCCCCCCTCTCCTCCCCCCACTCTCCTCTTCCCCCTCTCCTCCTCCCCCCCTCCCCCGTCTCCTCCCCACTACTGTCCTCTTCCCCTCTCCTCCTCCCCACTCTCCTCCCCACTACTCTCCTCTTCCCCCCTCTCCTCCTCCCCCCTCTCCTCCCCACTACTCTCCTCTTCCCCCTCTCCTCCTCCCCGCCATCTCCTCCCCACTACTCTCCTCTTCCCCCTCTCCTCCTCCCCCCCTCTCCTCCCCCCACTCTCCTCTTCCCCCTCTCCTCCTCCCCCCCTCCCCCGTCTCCTCCCCACTACTGTCCTCTTCCCCCTCTCCTCCTCCCCACTCTCCTCCCCACTACTCTCCTCTTCCCCCTCTCCTCCTTCCCCCGTCTCCTCCCCACTACTCTCCTCTTCCCCCTCTCCTCCTCCCCCCGTCTCCTCCCCACTACTGTCCTCTTCCCCTCTCCTCCTCCCCCCATCTCCTCCCCCCACTCTCCTCTTCCCCTCTCTCCTCCTCCCCGTCTCCTCCCCACTACTCTCCTCTTCCCCCTCTCCTCCTCCCCCGTCTCCTCCCCACTACTCTCCTCTTGCCCCTTCTCCTCCTCCCCCCTCTCCTCCCCCACTACTCTCCTCTTCCCCCTCTCCTCCTCCCCCCTCTCCTTCCCCCACTCTCCTCTTCCCCCTCTCCTCTTCCTCCCCCATCTCTGTCTTTGCTGCACTGAATTCTGCTTTCTCGTTCCTCTCTATGTATGCTCACGCCGGTCCTCACTAGCCATCATAAAAGGAGAGAAGTTGACTTGAATGGCCGGGTGACCAAGTTTCCTTGCCTCCCATAGCACATAGCACCCCGGTTGATATGCCGAGCAGAGGACAGAACGAAGACAGGGACAGCGGCATCGCCCGGTCAGGTATGTGTGCTTCTCCTCCTGTTTGGCGTCACCCGTGGGGTGAGCACTCTGAGCTCTGGGCCTTCAAGGGCAGTGTCCAGGCATGATGTGCACCAGGATGAGCCCTGGTGGTGAATGCACACTGAGAAATGTCCCTCTAAAAAGAGAGAAGCCTCTCTGAGCCAGTGGTCCCTGCTTGCTGAGTGCTGAGGATCAGATCAGGGGAGGGCCAGTGTCTGCGGGTGTCACTCTGACCGTGACCGTGGCAGAGCTGCCTGCTACCCTTTCACTCCTCTGTCCTGCAGACATACTGCTCTAGATTTTATCTCTGGTGCTTTTCTCCTTGTGTCAGGCTGTTACTGACCAGGGTTCTTGACCTCCTTAATCAGTAGAAAATTGACCAGAGACCAGACACAGAGTTCAGACAAGGCTTTGTTGGGCCCCTGCTGCAGCAGAGGGTGGCGAGAACAAGTAACAGGTGCCCTAGCTTGCTCCTGGAGAGGAGAGAGGAGTGAGCTGAGCTGGTTCCTTACATGCGGTGAGGGTAGGAGTGCGTCCAGGGATCAGGCTGGAGCGGTGGTTTAGGTGGTCTGCTCACCCCTTAGGTGGTGGTATGTGCAGAGGGCATGCACAGTACCCTGCTTTTACTCCCAACACTCTGCTTTTGTTCCTGGATCTTCAGAAGTTGCAGTTAGATTTTTTGGTCTTTTTGTGTCTTTTGTCCATAACTTGCCCCAACTGCACATGCAAGCAGTTATTTTTAGCCCCTTCTAATTTCTTTGTATCCGTTGAGACATTTGTCCAGGCCCAGGCACTACAGCAGAGGGTCCCAGGTCGCAGCCTGTCTCAAAGCCTTAAACTTTGCCGAGACTGCTTTTAAGATCTCTTGGTTTCTGCTCTTATACCTGATACTGCTGTTGATTTTGATTTGTGGTTCAGTTCAGAGGTGTAGATTCCTTGCAGTGAAAGAAAGGTGGTGCGTGAATGATGTGGAATTGGAGGGTTCAGGGGTGTGTGGGCTGTGCCCACAGCAGACTCGGGGCACCTATTGTGGCCAGTTGGCACTCATTGTGCTGAGCCTGGGCTGGGCTTGCTGCCTTAAGTCATTTCTGTTTCCCTCCGGTCCCTTCCGTGTGGTGCTGAGCCCTTCACCCTGATCTGTATCGCTCTGCTTCCAAGTTCACTGCCGGGTGAGATGGAATTTGCGAGTCCACCTGTTTGGTTAATGTATGTCACGTGATGAAAAGTACACAACATTCCGTGTATGATTGGTTTCAGTGAGTTGATTCACTTTGGGTTCCCTGATCCCATCTTAGGTAAACTTGGTCAGAGGTGTAACTGCCATTAGTTAGACCTGTGCGGTTTTCATTTGTAGCAGTTTTTACATAAACGTAAGACCTGGAATACGCCGCTTGTGGAGTGGTAACAGGATCATCTGACTGTGTTCCACGGGGCTTGGGATGATCCCCATCCATACGGGGCGCGGTCTGCACCCACCCTGCAGGAGGGTCTTTGAGTCACATCCATCCAGTAGCCACTGGAGGCTGAGGGTGTGCGGTGTGATGGTCTTGGTGTCCCCAGAGTCCAGCCCCTGGAGCCTCTCCAGTCAGGCCTGGCTGGGGCTGGCTCTGTCTTGGTTGAGTCTCCAGGCAAAAAGAAGCGGGAACCACAGTAGAAGCAAGGCCATGCTCCATCCCAGTTGCTGCCTTAGCAGCTCATAGAATTTGGTGTATTTGTCTTTATGTGGTGAACACCCAGGTGGCACTAGTGGTAAAGAACCCACCTGCCAATGCAGGAGATGTAAATGACACGGGTTCAATCCCTGGTCAGGAAGATTCCCTGGAGGAGGGCATGGCAACCCACTCCAGTATTCTTGTCTGGAGAATCCCATGGACAGAGGATCTTGGACAGTCCATAGGGTCCCAAAGAGTTGGACACAACTGAAGTGACTTAGCACGTATGCATGCACACCTTTGTGTAATGAACACTCTGCCCAAACATGACCAGTATTTGACCGAGTCCCACTCTGAGCCCTGAGGTCACAGGGTTCCCACTGTAACTTTCTCTTATGTGTCTCTTTCTGCTCCCTCTTGTTCCAGAAAAGACTAAAGAGACTGGGGGGAGCTGGTGCCAACAGAGAGTTGGCACCTTAGGCGAAAGTTTGGGTGTTCCTGGGTAGCTTCTCGGTTTATCATGTGTTTGGTGTGAAGGTTGAGGTTCACGTTGCGCACCTCAGAATCCCCGTAGGTTTGGTAGTCCTCTGACTCTAAATCACTCCTTAGATGAGTCTTTTTTTGGCCTCAGAGAAGCAGGAACGTTGAGGGGCTGAATGTGCGTTGAAGTGAAAGGTCCATAGCAGCTGCATCTGGGCATTTTCTCGGGAGGAGGAGGCAGATGTGAACCTGGTGCAAATGTGAACTCTGACTGCCCTGGTGACTCAGCCCATGAACCAGGCACCTCTCCTTTGAGGCTCCCAGCCTCCTGTTGAGGGGATGCCAGATGTGGGGCCGGAGGGGCCTTCTGCTTTCCTTCCTTCTGGGAGCTGCTTCTAAGTCATCGGATGCTCCCAGGATGGGTCTCCCTCCACTGAGGCCTCTGAGGAGTAGGCCCAGACCCCTACTCCTCGTCACCCACACCATGTGGGACCTCGTGCTCGTCCTGAAGCAGAGCGGGGACTCCCACCCTTTGACCTCAATCAGCAGGAGAAGACGTGGAAAATTAATGACAATTGTTTTTTTCTTTTTCCCTTAATTTGTAACTTCCTGTCTTACTAGTTGAGAGATGGGGAAAATATTGTTAAATAGATTTTTATTTTTTAAAACAGTTGTAGATTTGCAGAGCAGTTGAGATGATAGTAGGGAGCATCAGTGTACCTTGCACAAGCCTCCCTGTTAGTAACATCTTGGTTAAAAAGGTGGCGTGTTTATTAATATTTGTCATGTCCACTTGGCTGCACTCCACTCTGACAGTTTCTCAGTCTTTGTTTTGGTGACCTTGATGGTTTCAAGAACGAGCAGTCAGGTATTGTGTAGAATGCCACTTGTTAGGATTTGCTTGATGTTTCTCACGTGACTAGACTGGGGTTCTGGGTTTTAGGAAGAAGGGTCACAGAGGTGAAATGTCGTTTTTGAAAAATATTTTTGGCCGTGCCGGCAGTTAGTTGCGGCACTCGGGATCTTTGGTCTCTGTTGCTTTGTGCTCCGTGTGTATCCATGGCTCTGTACATACTGCTGTCTGTGGCGCCTGCACCTGTGTTCAGTTAAATATGAGTTGGTGCTGGTTTCTCTGCTGCCCTGTGGGAGCTCATTATTCATGAGCACGGGGACCATCCCACCCTCTCCACCTGGCTTATCTGCATGCCACCCTCCAACAGCGAGAAGCCGGCCTCCCGTGCCTGCCCTGCATTTAGGTGACGGATTCACTGCAGGCCACACACACCAGCGTCCGAGAGCTTAACCTGCCCTCCTTGGGAAACGCCTTTTTAGACTGGAGTGCAGTGCTTGTGTGCAGCTCCTCTGACCTTCAGTCTCACAGATATCCACTCACATCTAAGGTTCCCGAGGCCGACACCTTGGTAACATGGGGAGTATCTGCAGCTGCACGTGCCAGGCAGCAGAAGCTCCGAGATCACATCCGACACCGGCTCATCCTCATGATGAACTAGCTTTCTGACAGCTGCCCCAAACTCTGAACATCACACATCACACCGGAAGGAAAAAAAGCCTCTTTTTTTTTCTTTTTAAATCATCCTCCATAGAGAGGAGCCTGATCTGGGATGAGTCTGAGAGAACTGGGTGCATTCCCCGGCAGAAAGTCACCAGGGGTCTGTGCGCCCCCTGCAGGCCGATGTCACAGGAGGGGCGGGTCTGGACTCTGACCACATGGTCGTTGTGCAGTGTGCCCTGGGAACGCAAAGCGCCGTCTGGGTTTCAACTCCGGGAGGGCCCTCTGTTGTTGGAAAACTCACTCATTCAGCTGGTTTTCACAGTTGGGCCAGCTTGGCACAGTTGAGGTTAAGAGGAGGGCTTGGAAGGATAGCTCTGATTCGGGCTTGACCATCTATACTGCGGCTTGGACGAAGCTCAGGTTCTTCAGTTCATTGTGCTTCTTGTATTTCAGGACAGACCCTTCGCGTGCTCCAAGAATAGACATTTCTCTTCACAAATCTGTCAGTTCTTTCACATTAGCTCTTTCCTTTCTAGACTTGTATTCATCTATACCTGTTTAAGAAAAATTAGAATCAACAAGTAATGCACATTGCAGCCAAAACTACAAGACATCTAAGAATATGTCTGAGAAAAGATGTGTGATACTGTCAGGGAGAAATTTTAAAATCGTTGTTAGAGGAATGCATATATATTATCTGGAGAGAGAGAGAAATCGAATTCCACAAATAAATATGTAAATTCAGTGTAATTTCAATTAAAATCCCTTGTGAAGTTGGGCAAAATCACTTTTATTTGTGTGGAAGAGTAAAGGACCAAGAGTATGTTTATGCTTTCCAAAATCCTTTGTAGATTTCGTTCTTAGAGTTCAGACTATGGCTAAAAAGACATGGGAAAGTTAAATAACTTGGCATATAAATATAGAGTGAGTAGTTCACCAGGGCTAGGCTAGAATTTATATCCTAGATGAGGGATTAAAATGTAAGGTATTTTTGGTCGAATATTTTTCATGCTAAAGAGAAGTGAGCTATGAAGCCATGAAAGGACAGCGGCAAACCTAAAAGCTCATGACCAAGTGAGAGAAGGCAGTCAGGAAAGGCTGATGTGATGGTGTGCTGTGTGAGAATCCCTGTGTGACGTCGTGGAAATGACAGAGCCGTGGAGACAGTAAAGAGACGGAGGCTGTCAGGGCTTGGGTGGGGGTAGATGGGGGGAGGACAGTGAAACTGTGATGTGTGGTGCTGTAGTAGTGGTGGGTGCGTGTCATTATTTGTCCAGACGGTGTGGAATGTGTACCCAGGAGTGAACCCCCGTGAAGCCATGGACTCTGGGTGGTCAGTCATAACAGACGTGCCT